ATAATTTCAAAGAAAAGAATATATATGTTAATTATCATTTAAAAGTATTTTTGCCAACAAAATACTTATATTAACGGTCTTCCCTTATCGTAAAAACTCGGGCAAGGGATTATACTTATAAGAAAGAAAGTAATAATAATAATAATAATAATAATAATAATAATAATAATATGGGATTACACAATACACACTGACAGAACAATCAAGGCCAAACCTATTAAAGACCACAAACAAAAACGGTGCCTCCTTATTGATATGGCAGTCCCTGCTGACTGCAATGTATCTTTGAAGATATTCAAAAAGCTGTCAAAATACAAAGACCTTGAAATAGAAATCTAAAAAATGTGGCATATGGGAACATCAACAATCCCTGTTGTAGTTGGAGCCCTAGGACTGGTTGGAAAAGATTGCAGTAGACTAATTGAAGGGTTTCCTGGAAGTCCATGCCTTAAAAAAATACAAAAAATTGTTCTCACGAGTACAGCCCACACTTTACGAAGGGCTTTATCTATGTAACTTTTTTTTTTTGTCAGTGGAAAGTGTCATGATGCCATTTCTAACCTTAGGTCCCTGGGCGGGACCCGGAAAGAAATGTGTAAACGCCAGAAATCAAAGAAAATAATAATAATAATAATAATAATAATGATAATAATAATAATAATAATAAGAAGAAGAAGAAGAAGGAGAAAAAGAATAAGAATGAGAACATATTTAAATAGCCTCACGACTATCTTACCATTTCTCATTCGCTATGAGTTTTTTTTTTACTTTAATCTCCATGTCATATGGAGAAGATATTTTATCCAGGTTTTTCACTAGACTGACAAGTTCTTCTTCTCTGCTTGCACAGGAGGCGGAGGTAGGGGTTCATAGTTGCGGCGGTGGGGGAGGGGAGTCTTTTACTTTGTTTTTTATTTACAGAATATGGACCCCATCATGGGTGTCAAAAAAAAAAAAAAAAAAGGCAGTATACCGAATCTTATATCAAATATGTATTCGCCATGACCTTTTACTGAACTTTTTGTTTCTTGAATTCCAATCCCCTGACATTCTGTTGAACATTTTATTTATTGAAGTCTGAAGGTTTAGTTTATTTATTTAATAAATAATTATGAATTAAAATAAATTGCTGTACATGTATTCAAGTTTTTTTTTTTTAAATCTATCAACATTTTCCATTGCTTTTAAATTTCTAAAACTCCTTAGTAAAAATAATTCATGTAAATGTATTTGTACTAATTTTATGGAAAAGAATGAAGATTTTTCAGTAATAAATCTGTATGCACCTTGATGTTAGCCTTCAGTGTATCATTATAAAGCAAGTTGAAGACAGTCTAAATCATGAATTCTCAACGAGAGAGGAATTTATCCCAGGTGGGATTTCAGGTGGGAAGGAAAAATCTTATATTTTTTCTTGTTTTTATTTACAGAATTTTGCTTATTGAATTCCAATCCCCCTGACATTCTGTTGAACATTTTGCTTACTGAAGTCTGGTTTAGTTTATTTATTTAATAAATAGTTATGAATTAAAATAAATTGCTGTACATGTATTCAAGTTTATAAAGGTGACGAATGATATTCTGACTTATGATGAAAAGGGTGAACTGGACAAAAAAAAAAGTATGAACACGTGTTGAAAAATGACTGTAACATCAGCTTGAAGCTGTAAGAAAAAGATACGGGGTTACTATTCTTGAGGGATTTACCAGTCATATAAAACTAATAAACAAGATTAAGGACTTGATTAAAGAATGCAAACAAAGTGCTTTCTCGTAGATATAACACTGATATCAGATAAAAATAAATCTGTTAATCAATATGACAAAAGAAATAAATATAAGGATTTTGAAATTGATACTGATAAAATTTAGCACATTAAAACGACTGTTATACCTATAATAACTGGAGCACTGGGTACGATCAAAAATGGTACAAACAAGAATATTAAGAAAATCTATCATAACCCGTGTTTAAAAGAGATTAGCAAAAACCCATTATGGAAATATTCATCCGTTCGGGAGTGTAATGTCAAAATATAATCACTGTAAATGTTCTGATTCGTTTTTTTATGGCTTATCACGCCTTTGGAGGTTATTTAAAGCCTGAAAATATTTTTAGAGATAATAATGATTTACTAATTAACCCATAGGTGGAGGGAATAGACGTTGATTCATACCATTCTCAAATGTATTTGCGCGTAATATATTAATGGATCTAATGTGCACATAGGTAACCATTATTGCTTTTAAACTACAAATTTCCAATGATTTCTCTCGGACGATCCTATCTGCTCAAAGCGTATAGGATACAGGTTGGATTCCTGTCAGAGAATACATATTTTCTATGAAATTTCTCCGACATTCAGGCCGGTAAATGTTGTTTAATACTGTTTATGATACCCAGAACATTTACTTAAATATTTGTATCTATAAAAAGAATATATAAACAAAAAATATATTAAAATAAATGTCAGACTTAGTCCATTTCATAATATATGATGTCATTTGTTTACGTTAAGATACGTGTCGAGCAGATATGAGCGTTCGAGAGAGATCATGGGAAATTTGTAGTTTAAAAGCAGTAATTTGACCTTGCTAAGCAGACGCTTCCTCTAGCTAAATGGCATAGCCCGTTAGGCTATATGATCGGTATCTATAAAAATAAATTTTCAATTACTATGGTTAAACTGTAGAATGTTTTATCTAACTAATCGAGTATTATGGATGCACTAATCGAATTTTGGTATATAAAAATTTCAGTGCACTAGTTAAAAATGCATTAATTGAATGCGCATTAATAGAGGGGTTCTTGTATTCAGAGTTGCCTTCCTCTTAGACTAATTTACCACCCAAGGCTAAAGGGAGCAGTCTGCCCTACAATTTCATTCATTAAAACCCATTGTCCAATTTTGTGGATGATCGGAATTAATGAGTAACCTGTTCTAATTTCTGGGATCATTTACACTATTTACACGCGGACGATTGTCCTCATCTTTGTTGTGGTTATTACAACGTTTCGAGCATTGGGCCATCCGGCCTTCATCATGTGTATATCGGACAGGATGATGTAAAGAATCCTTTATAGAATCTACGCTGGTTGAATCTTTTCGGTCCACTGTCCATATCTCAGTGGAAACACAGCGAGCAAATAACTGAGAAGTATTAAAAATAGGATCTAGACGAGATATCCCTAGACATTGCAAATGGAAAGAGAACAGTCTACCCAAGCCCTTAGATTAAATAACGGGTTTAGTTCGGAAATGTTTGTAGGTTACCCGGATCGTTATAGACCTGATGAAGGTCGGGGGCTTACAACGGTCGAAACGTTGAAAAAAAAAACAAACAAAAAACAAAAAATCAAACAAACCAAAAACAAAGGTGAGGACAATACTCCCAGTGTAAATAATAATAAAAATAATATTAATACTACTCATAATAATAATAATAATAATAACAATAAAAATATTAATAATAATAATAATAATAATATGTAAAATATGTACATGTATGTTTTTTTTTAATTGGTCAGTGGAAAATGTCATGATGCCAATTCTGACCTTAGGTCTCTGGGCGTGACCCGGAAAGAAATGTGTATACACCAAAAATGAAAAGAAATAAAAGAACAACAACAGCAACAACAACCACAACAACAACAATAATAATAATAAAAATAATCATAATACATATTATTATTATTTACTCCTTTCCATTATGTGACTGTATATTATTATTATTAATAGTTACTGAAAGGGTTACTGATTGAGGAATAATCAAAACGGAGGTTGGAAATGAAATGATAATCTTTATAACATTAAAAAAAATACAATACTCGCCAGCGGCGTGAAGTAGGCAAACCACTGCTAGTGGTGGACTCCTTAGACAGCATATTACCCCCACTTACAATAGTGTTCAATGTATTTATGTGGATTGAAATATAGCCATTAGTGTTCATAAGTACGGTATATAATAATAATAATAATAATTATTATTATTATTTATTTCTCTATGCCACGTGACTGAGTCGGTTGCTTTAAGCCGTCGTGGCAGAATAGGGTATTCATATTTAATCTTCTTTAATATCGATGATAGCTTTTGTGTTGGTATTGATTGTCAAATTGGCAGCGGGAAAACAGTTACGGAAAGAGCATGAGTCGAATATGGTGGCACGATCAAAAATCTATCTGTTTGCTTCAACTGACTGATGAAAAGTGTTTTGTGATGAGTCACTTTGCCGTTGAATGTAAAGCTTTCCCCTTGATCTTTGTTAAGTTCTTGTAACAAACGCCGAAAGTCGATATTGGCGCGTTTGTCGTTGGAATTTCTAAAAAAAAAAAAAAAAAAGAAAAGGAAAAAAAGAAGAAGGGAAGATGGCAGATGATGTGGATACGAAAAGGAAAAAGGAATAAAGAACAAAGAATTCAAATAAACGAAGACAAAATAAGATGGAGGAAAAAGGAAAGAGAAAGAACAAAAGAAAGAAGGAAAAGAAGAAAGAAAGAAGGTAGAAAATAAAGAAAGAAAGAGAGAGAGAAGGAAAAAAAGAAAGAATGGATAAAATAAATAAATAAATAAATAAATAAATAAAGAAAGAAAGAAAGAAAAGAAAGGGTGGGTGAAAGTTTTGAGTATAAGTAAGAGAGACTAATGAAGAAAGCAGAAAGAAAGAAAGTAAAAGAAAAAAAAAAAAAGTAAGAACAGAGAAAATAAATAAATAGAGAAGTAAAAAAAAATGAACGTAAAAAGCAAAGACTGATGAACACGGAAAAAAAAGAAAAGAAAAAAAAGAAAAGAAAAAAAGAAAAGAAAGAAAATAAAGAAAGAAAAAAAGAAGAAAAGATTCTAAGAATAAAATGAAGAGCACGTAAAAATGAAAAACAAAATAAAGTAAAAAGGAAAGAAGGAAAAAGAAAGAAATATTTCAATGAAGACCTAAGTGACTGAAGAAAGAAATAAAAGCAGGAAAAACAAAATACAAATAATGAAAAAAATGAAAGAAGAAGCTAAAAGGTAGTCAGGCCGAATTGATTGTCAAAGATAAAGAAAGAAGGAAAGGAAAAAGGAAAAAGAAAGAATACGAAGGAAACAAAAAAGAAAGAAAGCAAAAAAGGAAAGAAAGAGGGCAAAAGAAAGAAAAAAAAGAAAGAAAAAAGAAAAATAAAGGTATAAAGAAAGGAAGCAAAAGAAAGAAAGAAAGAAAGAAGGAAAAATAAGGAATGAGAAAAAGAGGATATAAAATAACAATGGAGATGAAGCGAAGGAAAATGGTTCGAAGAAGAAGAGCGAGAAATGGTTCGAAGAGAGAAGGAGAAAGAAAAAGTGAACAAATAGATAGCGAGGAAAAGAAAAGATAAGGAGAAAGAATTAGTGAGAGAAAGAGAGAAAGAAGGAGAGAGACAGAGCAAGTGTGAGAAAAATCCATAGGGGGATAAACAAAGAAATAAAGAGGAAAAAAGTGAGAATAAAGAGAGAGTGAAAATGAGAAAGAAAAATTGAGCAATAAAGTGAGAGAGAGAGAGAGAGAGAGAGAGAGAGGGGGGGGAAAGAAAAGAGAGAAACACAGACAGAGAGCGAGGACCTGAAAGAGAAAGAGAGGGAAAGAGGGGGAAAGAGAGGACGAGAAAGAGTAAATAGAGATAGAGAAAGAAAGAAAAAGAAAGAAAGAGATGGTCACAGAGAAAGAGATGGAAAAAGAAAGAACACGAGAAAAAGGAACAGAGACACAAAGAAGAGAGAGAGAGAGAGAGGGAGAGAGAGAGAGAGAGAAGAGAGAATGAGACAGATAGGAAAAGAGAACTAGAAAAAAATGAAAGACTAAGAAAAACAGAGGGAGAAAGAAAGAGGGAATGACAGAGAAAGGGAAAGAGAAACAAACAAAAGGGAGAGAAAGGGGAAAAAGTTCGCGAAAAAGAGAGAGACTAATAAAGAGACAGAGAGAGAGACAGAGAGAAACAGAGGGTGAAAGAAAGAAAGAAAGAAAGAAAGACAAACAAAGAGAGGGAGAGGAAAGAAAAGACAGAAAGTGTAACAAAGAAAAACTAAGAAAGAGAAAGAAAGAAAGAGAGAGAGAGAAAGCGTAAGAAAGAGAAAGAGTGAGAAAGGGAGAAAGAGAGACAGCGAATAAATAAAGCAGAATGAATTCGCGCAGAAAGAAGATAAAAGAAAATTGGTAGTTAAGTATTTGATAAAGGAAGACATTTTACCCAAACTGAAGAATTAAGATTATCAAGTCGAAACAAAGGAAGCATCGAAACAATAGCAGAAGATGAAATAATATTGATTGAAAAAAATCATTAAGTTCAGATATTAGATCTGTCGTGAATATAAAAAGAAATTCATACTTTCATATCGATTTTAATGTCAAAAAACCTTTTGCACCGCTGTCATCTCCATTTTCCTCTTACTGACACTTTGTGTTTCCTTTGTATTAAGAAATCATAAATAGCGAAGAAGGAAATGTTATACAGACGAAAGACAAAGCTAAGAAGAAAGATGTGGGAAAGAAACGTTGAAATGAACAGCGAGGAAGAAAACAGAAAGCGGAAGAGATTAAAGAAAGATAAAGTAAAAAAAAATTAGAGAAATCACGAAACTTTAAACAACTAAAACAACAAAGCTAAAACGGAAATGTTTCTATTCTGAAAAACAAAAAAAAAAAAACCCAAAAAACAAACAAAAAAAAAAAACCAACAACAACAACAAAAATTACTGAAAGAATGGCAACTCGTTCAGATAAATATTTTACCTAAATTAAATTAAGCCTTCGCGAAAATATTTTCGAGATCCGAAAATCTTTCGAAGGAACAAAGGGAAAGCCAGGAACATTCATATCCTTTTCTTTCGTTTTTTATTAATTTTTATCCGTAACAATTCGATGCTATTGAAAAGATTTCTAGGTATTGGATATTTCACAAGACCCCCTCCCCAATTCTTAATAATTGTCGAACCAATTAGATTTAGGCTTGAACGCTAATCAACGACTTTTATATCAATATGCGAATTAACGTGGTATAGTTTTATCGCGATGAACTCCAGAATGAGGCTAATATACCAAATTGATAAAGACATCTCTCTTCGAATATCGTTTACAGAAAATAGCTTTGTCGTCAATCCATTATTCTGGATCTGTGATTTACAATGTGTGTGTTAAATCTCAAGGAGGCAAGCAGACTCCAGTGGATTTATAAGGGGCGGCGCTATAATTTTAACATGGCTATATGATGAAAAAAAAAAAAAAGTATACAAATTTGTTTACCTTTTTCCTTACATATCTACATGGTCCAGTGGATAATGACATTGGTTAGATCCAGTGACCAGACCCAAAGTGCTGTGAGTTCAATACCCGGCCACAGCGGTGGGGAACCAAAACTTGGAGAGTTGAGTTAAAGGGAAATAACTGAAGCATCCGGAAGAGTCATGGCACGTGGAACTAGAACGATATACCCCCCTCGGTGGACGAAATAAAGAGTTCGGTTCGAAATTCCAATTAGCCAGAGCGTACAACGGCCGAAAACGGGAATATGGCAATGCAGGTGAGGATAATGTAAATAATCATAATACCTCATCTCAGAGATATAGAGGCCGAAACGTTGTGAATATGTCAATGAAGATGAGGATAACAGTCCGAATAATGTAAATAATGCAAATAATCATAATACCTCATCTCAGAGATATAGACAAATATTAACAAAATAGAAATGAACGGCAACATGCAAAAAGTTCATTAATAATTCGTCTTCATGGATGTCCGGGATGTGTACCCATTATCGGCATGGAAACTGAAACCAGCGGTTTCAATTCCCGTCTAGACTACTGCGTTTTTTTTTTTTTTTCCACGCCAATATACTTGAGAGTAAAAATAGCAGGGTAGACTGAGCTCTCTAGCCTTGGATAGCCACCAATCTAAGAAGGAAACTCACTTCTAAACTTTGGTGAATGCAACGGTAAACCAAGAATGCATGTCAATTAAGAGATAATGAAGAAAATGAATCTTTGGAGGATCATGATTGCTTATGCTTTGTTCTTTTCTCCTTTTTGACCATGTATTTATTAAATTAGGAATGTGCTGTTTGCGTAGCGGTTATCGGCGCGAAGAGTGAAATTGGCGAGCCGATTTCAAATTTCGGCCTAGTCTATTGTCTTTTACAGAAATGCTCGTGTTGAAGGCCCAAATCTGTTTCTTCTATCTCAGCTATGGGTAAACTGGTAGGGTAGACTTGGTCCTTTAGCCTTGGGAGGAAAACAATGAATTCCAAATTGTCGAGAAAGTGACGGGAAACCATTCCACAATCTTTCCAAAGAATGGATGACAATTCAGATAATAAAGAAAAGGAATCGGTAAAGAGAGACATGATCGTCTACGTTCCAAAGTGACATGGTATACAAACCAAATTCTTTGCATTTCTCGTCAACTGAACATGAACGCTTTTTGCCAATGTATTCATAAAATTAGTGAGATGCTGCTAGCGTAGCGGCTATCGACGCGGGAAGTGAAATCGCCGGGAAGAGTTCAAATTGCTTGCTCGTCTATTAAGCTCCCTTTCGCATAACTGTCCTTGAGAAAGGCGTGAAACAATTTATTCTGCCGCCTCCAGCTCTGAATTAAGTAGTTGGGTAGACTGAGCTCATTAGCCCTAGGTGCCGGCCAGTCTAGGAGAAGGACTACTCTGAATTTAAAACAATGGAGAAGGCAAATGGAAACCGCTGTCATTGTTTGTACTGCTATCCTCATCTTTATCGTCATATACACAACGCTCCGGCCTTTTTCAGGTGATATAAATTGGATTTTCGATCGAACCCTTTATTTAGTCTACGGGGTGAAGGTAGATTGTTCTAGTTCCACATGCCATGCCTTTTCCTTTGCTCCGGCCTTATTCAGGTGATATATATTGGAATTTTGACCGGATCATTTATTTAGTCTACAGGGTGGGGGTAAATTGCTCTAATTCCACATACCATACCTTCTCTGGATATCTCAGTTTCAGTTAATTCCCTTTACTAACTCAACTCTCCAAGATCATGTTGACATCTGCTTGTGATCACTGGGCCATGCGTCCTGAATACGGGGGATAAAAGAACTGGTTGAAGTAATCCAAAAGTGATTTGACCCAAAGAGCTGTGAGTTCAATACCTGGCTAAGGAATTGTGTTACTAAAGGGAAATAGCTGAAATTGAAATATCCAGAAGAGGCATGGCTCGTAGAACTAGAACAATCTACTACAGTGGACTAAATATAGGGTTCGGTTTGAAATTGCAATATATATCACCTGAAAAAAGTCGGAGCGTACATCGACTGAAACGTCGGCAATAAACATGAGGACAACAGTGCGAACAATGTAAATAGTATAAAAAATGTTATATTATCAAAAACAGTAATGATAAAAATGTTAAAAATTGATAAATGCTAAAGATCTCTATATATCGGACATCAGATAAATTTTAACCGACGTCGGGATGGTAGCACCCGTTAGGTTGCTAGCTATGGGTAAATAATACTCCCCCCATATAGAGGTGAAAACACGCTGAAAATGTAAAAATACATTTTCACAGTAAAAAAAAAAAATTACCAATAAAACATTTTTGTAAAGAAATTTACTAATACACCCCAAAAGATTAAATTTCGGCATTAAATGACCCATGTTGATGTTGATATACAAACAAAAACAATGTAACTGGCATTTGTTGTATTTCTCTCATGCCGCACATACACACACCCCATTATATATATATATATATATATATATATATAAATCTTCATCATCATCATCATCATCATCATCGTTTTTCATCGACATTATTATCGTCATCATCATCATCATTTCATCATCATCATCATTTGTATATATATATATATATATATATATATATATATATATATATATATATATATATAAGATAGATAGATAGATATCGATATATATATATATATGTATATATAAAATCTTCATTATCAGTATCGTCATCTTCATCATTATCGTCATCATTATCGTCATCATCGTCATCAACATCATCATTATCATATATATATATATATATATGTCTGTAAAAATATATAGAAAATAGGAAAGAACTTGTTAGGTAAATAATCCAAATTTCTTTAGTATTTTTGTTATTATTTTTAAAAAATAGTGCTCGATACAAAAGTAGAGCGTAAATATGATTATTTATTTAAAATTTAAAATGTGCGTTGGAATCATATTTTTAAATAAATAATATATATATATATATATATAATATATATATATATATATATATATATATATATATATATATATATATATATATATATATATAAGCAAATATATGGATACAGATCCGACAGTATGAAGAAAAATATACTGAAAAAACAAACAAAAATCCTAATATGCGATTATGCTGTTTTAATGTTTAATGTCAACGTTGGACGTTTCGGTCTAATAGACCATCTTCAGGACATATTTTTTGTTTGTTTTTTCAGTATATTTTTCTTCATATATATATATATATATATATATATATATATATATATATATATAATCTTTTTATTATCAGTATCATCATCATCGTCATCATTATCCTCCACATCATCATCATCGTCGTCATCATCATCATTACATATATATATATATATATATATATATATATATATATATATATAATACGATCAACGTGCAATCAATTTACAAATTCATGAATTATTCACACAAAAACTAATGCAAAGGTTAATTATTTAATTGGCGAAATCCATCATCGCAAACAATTCAAAAATATACAAAAACCTCGAATCCGTTATGAATGAATTGATCCTTGTTAATAAATTTCTGAGGTTTAGTTCTTATTTTACTGAATTGTTTCGATGATGAAAAATAAGAACTAAATCATTAACCTTTGCTTTTGTTTTTGTGTGAATAATCTATGAATATATATATATATATATATATAATCGTTATTATCAGTATCATCATCGTCATCATTATCGTCAACAACATCATCATCATCGTCATCATCATCATTATCATTTATATATATATATATATATATATATATATATATATATATATATATATATAATCTTTATTATCAGTATTATCATCATTGTCATCATTATCGTCAACATCATCATCAACGTCGTCGTCATCATCATTATCATCATAAGGACCATCAGTATTATTACTTTTTTCAAATTCTTTTCATTTTTTCCTTCTATTGTTATCTAAACATTGAATTTAAATTTTCTTTTTGAGCAAATTTAAAAAAAAACAAACAAAATTTTTAAATTCAAAATCGCCTGGAGCATAGACTTTGAGAAGTACTTCATTTTATTTTATTTATTTTCTTCTTGGTCCCGAATTCGTGGACTGGGCGTTTGCAACGTTAATGAGCTGGATTTATAATTACGGTGCGGGCGCGCGATATGCACCTCCCCCCCTCACCCCCCCCCTCACCGACCGGTGCGATGTTCTTCTACTGAAATCCTTTTCAGTCAGTCATACCTTTTTTTCTTTAGCTCTTCATTCGGAGATTTTATAACCATGCCATCCCTTTATCTCCAACAGTCAAAACCGTTTCCTTTTTTATATAAAATCTACAATTACTGCATCGAATATTGATAAAATGCAATAATAATAATTTACATAAAGCAAGACTTGCACAAGGCCATATTTGTAGAGCACCTACACTTGGTTCACCCCTGACGTGTAGCTCAGAATTATTAAAATATATCGAGAATATATGTCATATGGAAATATCAAGACATTGCCCGACATCTACGAAAATTGTGATATAGGAAGCTGACGATAGTGCCTATAATTAATCGAGTACTGGAGTTTTAATGATTATAAAGATAGTAAAAGTGACTATAAAATGACTGGAAGAAGAAGAAATTAGATAAGTAAAGGCAAAGGAGATTAATAGAGAGTTAAGAGGACTTGTTGTCACTTGACCCCAGCAGTGGTCACGACAAACCTTCGGTATGAATATAATCATGTTAATATTAATCAAAACAAAAATACACACTAAATGCTTCATAAATCTAAATAATTAAAAGAAATATAGAATTTCTTTCTCTCATTCCCTCTCTCGCTCTCTCTCTCTCATGTATATATATATATATATATATACACACATACACACACACACACACACACACACACACACACATATATATATATATATATATATATATATATATATATATCCAAATGTAAAAAAAAACGAAGAGTAAGATTTCAGATTTTCCACCTGATGAAACGTTACAAAAATTTTTTAACGTTGAAACAAGATGCACAGTTTTGTAGTGGGTATATGCATGTTGCAATGTAACACTGCATAATATATATATATATATATATATATATATATATATATATATGTGTGTGTGTGTGTGTGTGTGTGTGTGTGTGTGTGTGTGCGATAAAATATACTTTTGGATAAATGCTATATCAGGAATAGAAGTAGGTAAAGCTAAAAGTGGACATTGAGGTCAGTTTCATGCTTCAATGTGGTCTTCAGGCCATCAAAATTGCTGTCAAGCACGAAACAGACTGTTGCCACTCGATATTGTCCACTGTGTCCAATTTCATATATGGATCAAGGACAGGTTTATTAGTAGCAATAAATCTTAGGCCCACAAAGAATTAATAACGGGGACACCTTATGAAGCTTGTGTATAGCACAGTCTTAATCATTTATCGTTCGCTTTCATCTTAATAATTTATATTCTTATGTTATTTTATTTGGTGAAGACCAGAGAACACTATAAACTTGACACTTTGTTAACATCTGTTTGATTTTAAATAACTTGAACTGGTTAATCGAGGTCGCTCCCTTGCATGTTAGAAATTTCGTTTTTCCTCTTTCCCCTCAGCTCCAGTTAACTATCACCGCCTGAAGAAGCACCTACAGTGTCGAAACATGATTGCATTTGTGTAGCGGTTTATAACATGTTTTTATTATAATTGTTAATATATATATATATATATATATATATATATATATATATATATATATTAGGAGGCTTTGCAAAGTAAGATATATTCACTACTTGAAATCTTTGAAACGAAAATTTTAAATGGACATTTCATTCATAAATTGGCTTCTTATAGTTAAGGAAAGTTTTATAAATAGATACCAACTTGTTGAAGGCCAAGTAAAATGCAAATTTCAAACACTTTTCTGCACTATATAAGACAATATTCCTAAACAGAATTATGCGCTCAGGGGCTTCTCTGTCAGAGGAAAATAATACTGAAGAGGTGCCCAGTGCCCAGCCCTGGGGAACAGCTGCCCGAGGCCGCGCCTTCTCATTGCACGCACCGAGGCCAGCTTAACCGACAGTTGCGTGGACTCGGGGAATTTTTGTTCCTTGCCCGGTTGCATGTGCTCGGGCTCCTCACATTAAACCGACCTTGTGTCCCAACCTGACTTCGTGAGGGGTTGAGTAAAAACAAATTACTCTTTTGGAGTAATTTCACGTCTACTTATTATCTCTCAGTTGCGTCTCTGTCTTTGGGCAGAGTGCACTCAGGGGCTTCTCTGTGAAAGGCAACTGGGAAAATAATACTAAAGAGGTGCCCTGCCCTGGGGAACAGCAGCCCAAGGCCACACCCTCTAATTGCATCAGAGGGAGGGATCGGTGCTCGCACCGAGGCCAGAGCAACTGACTATTGCGGGGGCCGAGGGGAATTTTTGTTCCTGTCCCGGGCGTACGCGCTCGGGTCCCCACCTAAATATAGACCTTGTGTCACATCTCGTCCTCGTGGTGGGACAGAGTGGATACCGCGTATAAATTACTATAAAGTAGAGCTGGGGCTTTTTAATAGCAGAATTCGTGGGAAAATGGAGCTCTAATCTCGCATTTATTCATAAATTCCATAATATAGGTTTTACTTAATTAGCTTTGATATTTCTCTATCTCTTCCAAATGTTGAATGTATAGCTAATTCTATTTTCTATTTTCCCATCTTTACAATATATCAATTTTATCTTATAAATTGTTCCCTGTTCTGATACCCATGAAATAAAAATAATTGATTGTACGGAATTTTGTCTTTAAATGGCAGCAGAAGAATTATCTTTGAACTTTTAAAAGGTAAGCTTAAACATTAATTCAATATTTAAATGCAGCGATCACTTTCAAGTTCTGTAGTTTATTGATGCCTATCGCATCTACTCCTTCCTAGCCATTGTGATAGTGGCCAAACGAAGAGTCCTCCACAGGAGCTAGCGTAAATGCCGCCCGATAAAGCGGCGTTTAAGGTAGTTTATAATAAAATGTGCACTGTAGTTTTGGATACAAAAGGAAAATAAAAGTTACTCCCTTTGAACCAAGAAAGCAACGATAATGGCTCGTATAATTTAAATTAATGTATATATTTTTCATAAAAATGTATTGCTGGTAATATATTTTTATTTTATTAAATGTATTGTTGCCAATATCTGTTTTCTCTTACAAAAATGTATTTCTGGTAATTTTTTTACAATGAAAATCTATTGCTGGTCATTTCACTATTGAGATAAGCTGGGAATACCAGCAATTAAGAGCTGGTTCTACGCTCCTCAAAACGTCTTGATCAGTGGCCTTGCTGCCGGATGTGATTTATCGTCATAACCAGGACAAAGAAGTGGTAACGCTTGTTAGGGTCACAGGTATGGTCAAATAGTGAACCACCAAAGAAAATACTATGAAAGTATAAAAATACAGAAATACATTGTTTTATAAAAGAAATTACCAATGCATATTTATAGTAGAATTGCCAACAATATATTTTATAGTAGAATCATCAAAAATACAGCATATCTGTTGTTGAAAGCTTACAACTGCGCTCAAAATATATTTACATGGAACCATAAAATAAGTCCAAAATATTTAGATTTCGGTATTAAATAACCCATAGAGGTGTTGATATGCCGCTAAACAAAATCAACCAACCAACAATACATATTTATAGTAAAATGACCAACCCTAATCAACCAACCATAAACAATCGTAATTATTATTAGGGTTCGAAGAACGATGCCAAAATATTAAGAATTGTTTTTCGACTTCCTGGTGAATCGACTTCAGTTGAAATACAAAAGATGGTACTCGTGGGTACTTCAGACATCCTTAAGAAATTTTTTTATCAACCTGACAGATTTTAGACGTATAATCCGAGAATTTGCATGCACAGTCTCATATATCCGCAGAACGCTACACGTTTTAAAACGATTTCTTCATATTTTGAAGGTTTCTCTATCAGTTGCTCCAATTAACCTGATTACATATATTAACTGAGACGAAATATTATCTTTTCATAGATGGACGGATTTGAATGAAAGTTCGTAGGCTTACAGGCCATATCACATTAAAAAACCTGTTCTCGTCCGCTCACCGAAGTTAAGCAACGTTGAAGTTGGTCAGTACTTAGATGGGTGAGCGCTCGAATATACCATGTGCTGTAAGCTTGGATGTGTGGACAGCGGGAAATCGTAGAGCAGAGTTCCCAATTCAAGTCGGGTTCGAGCAAATAAATTTTGGGAAAGGTATGAATCAACCTATTCTCCTCCCAGCTATAGGATAAATAGTAAAGCATCAGAAAATCATTATTATTTCCAAAAATTCTTCTCATTAAAAAACACGCTTCGGTTTTAAATAACGTTAGAAAGGTTCATAAGACGTAATAAAAAAAAAGCGAAATCAATTTAAACTAATACGGGATGTCCATAAAGTTCGTGTGCACTTTAAAAAATTTATAACTTTATTTGCATTTGCGATAGAAATAATCTGTAAAAATCTATGACATTATTTAATGAGAAAATCTTTTAATTGCTCTTATAAATAATATATATATATTAAGGACACTATTATCTTAAGAAAATGCTTTTTCGATCAGTTATTAAATTTTTACAAGAATTGTTTTCTTTTAATTTCAATTAGAATAACTTATGAAGTCCAAAAACTGTTAACATTCTGTATTAATTTCAGACTTTTAGATGATGTTATTATTAAGTGAAAACTATATTTACTAATCATGAACGGAAAAGTTTAATATAAAACGTCTAACACCAATATTTTAAAAAGAATTTTGAAGTTTTGTTGTATGTGTATAAACGTGCCGATTTTTGTAGATACGGAAGTTCATACATGAGATTATTAGAAAATAAGAGCGATATATAATAAATTAAAATCCAAAGTATCTACATTTCAATAAAAGATTGAATTGCAGAGAATACAAGGTGTCCATAAAGTTCGTGTGCACTTTAAAAAAATTATAACTTTATTTGTATTTGCGATAGAAATAATCTGTAAAAAATGTTATAAAGTTTAATGTACCTAGTTTTAAGTATAGCTAAAATAACTAATGTGATTTCAGGCATTACTGTAAATCAGTTGGCAAATGTTTTCCGTGAATTGCAAAATCGTATTGCACTTTGTATTGCTAATGATGGAGGACATGTGGAAACATAAATAAAATTTCAAGAAAACTTTAAAAAATATAGATTTACTTCTTTCTAATCCTTTTCACAAATTATTTCTATCGCAAATACAAATAAAGTTATAAATTTTTTAAAGTGCACACGAACTTTATGGACACCTTGTATAAACACTTACATGACTTCAAGCACTTAAGATGTAGGTTATGCCAGCTATATGTTCGATCTGTTATAATAGCAATCATGATATGTTGACTTGCTTTCTCTTGAAGTTTCAGGTTGAAACTTGGTGGCAGATCGTAAAACAAGCAGACGCAGAACACGACCACCACAGCAACAGTAATAATAATAATAATAATAATAATAATAATAATAATAATCCTTACAAAAAGGTTAATTATTGATCCATTGTCATTTTGATACAAATATAGAGGAAAACGAAGATGAAAAACTAATCAACTCTGACCCATTGAAGTTTGATCGCGCAAGGTTTATAAAGTTGAAGGTCAAAATCGTACCAGTTGTCTATAAGACCATTTGGTGCAGTGATTGACAGAATAGAGACATCTATAAAAAAAAAATGGCATTGGTTGCCCAATGGAACTGTTACAGGAAGAAAGTATCTTAGCAACGGCAAGAATAATAAGGCAATTGATGAAAGTAGAATGAACTCTTCTTCCTCTTATAAGCACCTACTGCAAGAGTCGTTGAGGAGTCGGTTGGGGGGGTGCTTTGATGCAGTGTTAACCTACCGTTCGGACGTACACCGCTGTCTGCTTATTACTGCTTATTACTTCCGTGTCTTTCTTTCTGGTCCCTAAACAGGCCATGACACTATTCCCCTCCCAGATATGGGTTAAATAGTAAGGAATATGTATTAATGCGATAAAAAACATGTTAAAGGAAGAACAAATGGGACTATCAAAAAATAATAACCATGAAATTGTAATATCAAAATATATTTTTTATTCCTGAAAAAGCAAATAGCTAAATATATCTGTTGATTGGTTGATTGCTTTTGTTTTGCGCCATGTCACTCTAAATGGTTTATTGAACAGTTATATATTTAATATCTAAATATTTTGTACGATATTTTTTTTTATTTTTGGAGATAATGGTATAGAGGTACAAGTGTTGCTGATTAACCCATAGCTTGGGGAAGGTGGAGTTAGTTTTCCAAGTTTATTTGCGCGTAAGTGTATCTAATGAACCCAACGGGAGTTAGAACTTGGCTCTCCGATTAATAATTCCTAGCCATTATCCATTACACCACCCGCATATCCAAGCTTACAGCCCCTGGTATTTTCAAGCGGTCACCCATGTAGGTACTGACCAGGTTCGACATTGCTTAACTTCGTATCTTTTGTTCAAAGAAAAAGTGGACAATATGGAGAAAGAAAGAGAAATATGAAAACAGAAAGAAAGAAAGAAAGAAAGAAAGAAAGAAAGAAAGAAAGAAAGAGTAAAAAATACGAAGAAAGAAAGAAGACGAAAAAAAGAAAAAAAAAGAAAAGAAAAATGAAGAAAGAAAGAATGGGAAAAAAGAAAGAAAGAAAGAAAAGAAAGATATAAAAAGAAAGAAAGAAAGAAAGAAAGAATGGAAAAAATGGAAAAAAAAAGAAAAGAAAAAATAGAAAAAAGAAAAGGAAAAAAAGAAAGAAAAATATATGAAGAAAGAAAGAAAGAAAGAAAGAATAGAAAATATAAAGAAAGAAAGAAGCAAAGAACGAATGGAAAATATGAAGAAAGAGAGAAAAATATGTAAAGAGAAAGGAAAAAAGAAAGAAGTTAAAATATGAAGAAAAAATAAATAAAGAATGAATGGAAAATATGGAGAAAGAAAGAGAAATATGAAAACAGAAAGGAAGAAAGAAAGGAAGAAAGAAAGAAAGAAAGAAAGAGTAGAAAATATAAAGAGAGAAAGATACAAAGAAATATGGAGAAAGAGAGAGAAATATGAAAACAGAAAGGAAGAAAGAAAGGAAGAAAGAAACAGTAGAAAATATAAAGAAAGAAAGAACAGTAAAAAAACGAAGAAAAAACCCCAAAAATTAACGAATAGGATAATCAGTAAATTGGTGAAAGCACCGAGATTATCCATAACGGTGTGTAAATTGAAGGAGTTGGTGGGGAGCGGGGAGATTCATGAAGGTAGCAAGACAAATGAGAGAAGCTTGACGATACATACTGTCACTTGTTCTCTAATGATAATCACGAGGCATTGGGTGAAAACATGCAAATACATGAAATCTAAATGCTAAACAATAATGGCGTCCAAATAGAATAAGAAACTACACCAATTACATTAATAAAAATAACAATTACAAAATGAATGATGACAAAACTTCCAGTGCCATTGGCAAAAAAAAAAAAAAAAAAAAAAAAAAAATTCACCGTCCATAAGCACCATTGCCTGGGTGCATTTTCATAGACACGTGGTTCCCGGTGGGTGGGCGCTGATGCAGGTGCAGATTCTGGGGAGGCGGCAAGAGAATACGCTAAAAGAGTTCTGGCTATTATGGCTACGTCTGTGGCGGAGGGGGGTTAAAGTTCCCGCTACACGGGTCGCATCACGTGACTGTCCTCATTCTCGTGCCGTGACGTCATTCTCATGTTGTGACACTGAAGTGACGGAGACGCCCGTTCAGTTCTTGTTATCATTCCGCTTCCATTATTATTATTATTATTATTATTATTATTATTATTATTATTATTATTATTATGATTGGGGGTGCAGAGGAGAGAGTGGCATGTGTTCGCTCCCTTCCTCTATTTTCTTATTGTCCATGTCTTTTTCCTCTGTTCGACACTTATTTCTTTGTTTTTTTTTCTCTATTTTTTTTTGTCTTTCTTTGCTCAATTATTCGTCGCCTCTTCCTCCCTCCTCACCTTGGCACGTCGTCTGCGGAATCCATTGTCTCCAGCCTTTGTTTCAACAGCGAATGCAACGATGACGATGCGACATTGTTCTAGACAAAGTCGGCTTTATTCCTGTCGCCTAAATTTTTAAGAGTTGATTGGTTTTTGCTGGAGACCAGGAACTGAAGTAGATGTTTATAAGCGTGGCTGGCGGGTGGGGTACGTTTGCATATTGAACTCGTTACGATGGTATATGTAAATGCAGATACGGTGCAGTTGCCTTAGTGCATATAAGCGGGTTTTTATGTGCGTAATTTAATATTTGATGACCCGAGTGAACTTTTTGCGGTGGATTCCCGAAGCAAACACTTCAACAGAAGACAAAAACAAAAACGAAACCACATTTTCTTTCGGCGTCTCTCTAAAGTTGGAATAATTCTTTGGAAGTTAGAGAAGAATTGGCGAAGTAAATTTATAAAAGTTCATGGGTTTTATGCTGAAGACGGGACAAGAACGATAGAAAGGTAGATGTGTAAAAGAGATAGATAAATATGAATAGACTGATATATATATATATATATATATATATATATATATATATATATATATATATATATATATTTAAGAAATGGACAAGGTCCGACAATTTATTTATTAAAGACATTTTATGTTTAACGTTGTTATTTTATAGATGTCTTTAATAAATAAATTGTCGGACCATGTCCATTTCTTAATATATGACGTCATTTGTTTACATTTGATACGCCATGAGCAGTTATGAATGTACGAGATTCATGGAAGATTGGAGTTTATAAGCAGTAAATTCGACCTTGTCTACCGAACGGTTCTTTGTGGCCGAGCGGTCAAGGCACGTCAGCGTATATGACGGTTCTGTATAGGATGCAGGTTCGAATCCTGTCAAAGAACGAATGTTTTCTCGGACATTCAGGCCGGTAAATGTTATTTAATACTGTTTATCATAAACAGAGCATTTGCTTAAATACTTGTATCTATAAAATAACAACGTTAAACATAAAAATGTCTTTAATATATATATATATATATATATATATATATAGATAAGTTTGAATATACTGAGATAGATAGATATGAATATATATATATATATGGATACACTGAGATAGATAGACAGATAGATAGATAAGTACAGAATGAGAGATAGATATGATTACACTGAGAAAGATATAAATAGAGATATTTAAAGAGTGAGTTAAATACATAGATATGAATCTAAATAGAGATAGATAGGTAGGTAGACATATCGATGTGCCTGCTTCAAAGTCTACACTTTTATATTTACATACGCTCTATTACTGATATTATTGAGAACTTTATCCCCTAAATATAGCATACCTTAAATCTATATATCTTCATATATATATATATATATATATATATATATATATATATATATATATATATATATATATATATATATAGAAAAGAGGAATAACTATACTTAACTGACGCGTTTCATCCTCTGACGGACTTTATCAAGGCAATGTAGGATTTATTATTCTCCACGTGTTTTATATATGCACGGAGGCAAGGATGTCAAGTCTTATAAACGTTCATGAATATTTATCAGGTTGTTCAAAGGTCAGCCAAAACTTATGGAAGACACAATGTGTCATAATTCAAAGTCTGTTGAAAAGTTAAGTGAGCGTGTAAATTTCAGTAATATTTTTAATGAATATTGTGTGGGTTCTGCACATCTAAGGCCTGATCTGATGGATTTAACCGTTTCTTTTTGATTTTTACAACTTCCATATTCGCGAATCACTCACATTTCCTTCGTATTCTGTCAGTGCAAAGTAAGTTCTACTCAAATAGTTTTTTCCTGCGAATCACTGCCCTATAGAATAGACACCTAAGATGTTTTTCACTACAATCTTAACCTGTTCAAGTGTTGAGTCAACCATTATCTTCCCCTCCAATCCGGATAAACTACCCCTTATCGTAAAACTCTACCTCGAGTGGCTCCCTGGTCTTTCAGAGGATGAACCTTACTGTAAAAAACCAACAAGCAAGCAAACAAACAAAAACACATGCAAATTATCGTATTGACTTTAGGAACATTAGGCGGCACGTACAGATTTAGTTTAATTTCCAATCTCTGATCGTCATGGGTAAGATATTAAACTGCATCCGTGTCCTGGGTAAGACGATAAACTATGTCCAGCAGCAAGGCCTCTGATCAGGAGGTTTTGAGGAGTGTGGAACCACCTCTTAATTGTTGGTATTCCCAGGTCCACCCTGACAAGGTGTGGTAGCACCTGTTAGGGTCCAAACTATGGGCAAATAGTTAACTATTACGGGCAATAGTTTTTTGAAAAATTATTACCAGCAATACAATTTGGAAGGAAAAATATTACCAGAAATAGATTTTTGACAAAACAAAATATTATCACCAATAAATAAAATTTTGTCGACATTAAATAACCCATTGATGTTGATATGTCGTAAAACAAAATAAACCAAACCAATCTAAATCAATCTCTGCTATTGTGAAAGATTCTTCTCTGGCTATTAATCAACATGTTATCATCTCTACGCAAACGGCGCAAAATCATTCCGGAAGTATATACGAACTTCTCATTATTACTAACATAATTATTTAGAGCTTTGAATGTGAATGTTAGCTTAACATTCACAGTTAAAGCTCATACAGTTCCCCAACATGAGTCAGGACACTTGTAAAATTCCACCACATGAGAGAGGACACGAATATAGTTCCAGCAGACGAGTCAGGACACTTGTACAATTCCACCACATGAGAGAGGATACGAATATAGTTCCAGCAGACGAGTCAGGACACTTGTACAATTCCACAACATGAGAGAGGAGACGAATATAGTTCCAGCAGACGAGTCAGGACACTTGTACAATTCCACCACATGAGAGAGGACACTCATCCAGTTCCACCAGACGTGTCAGGACATGTACAATTCCACCACATGAGAGAGGACACTTATCCAGTTCCACCAGACGTGTCCAGGACACTTGTACAATTCCACCACATGAGAGAGGACACTTATCCAGTTCCACCAGACGTGTCAGGACACTTGTACAATTCCACCACATGAGAGAGAAGACACTCATCCAGTTCCACCAGACGTGTCAGGACACTTGTACAATTCCACCACATGAGAGAGAGGACACTCATCCAGTTCCACCAGACGTGTCAGGACACTTGTAAAATTCCACCACATGAGAGAGGACACTCATCCAGTTCCACCAGACGTGTCAGGACACTTGTACAATTCCACCACATGAGAGAAGACACTCATCCAGTTCCACCAGACGTGTCAGGACACTTGTACAATTCCACCACATGAGAGAGGACACTCATCCAGTTCCACCAGACGTGTCAGGACACTTGTACAATTCCACCACATGAGAGAGGACACTCATCCAGTTCCACCAGACGTGTCAGGACAATTACAATTCCACCACATGAGAGAGGACACTCATCCAGTTCCACCAGACGTGTCACGTGGACACTTGTACAATTCCACCACATGAGAGAGGACACCATCCAGTTCCACCAGACGTGTCAGGACACTTGTACAATTCCACCACATGAGAGAGGACACTCATCCAGTTCCACCAGACGTGTCAGGACACTTTGTACAATTCCACCACATGAGAGAGGACACTCATCCAGTTCCACCAGACGTGTCAGGACACTTGTAAACAATTCCACCACATGAGAGAGGACACTTATCCAGTTCCACCAGACGTGTCAGGACACTTGTAAAATTCCACCACATGAGAGAGGACCATCCAGTTCCACCAGACGAGGACACTGTACAATTCCACCACATGAGGAAGACACTCCAGTTCCACCAGACGTGTCAGGACACTTGTACAATTCCACCACATGAGAGAGGACACTCATCCAGTTCCACCAGACGTGTCAGGACACTTGTACAATTCCACCACATGAGAGAGGACACTCATCCAGTTCCACCAGACGTGTCAGGACACTTGTACAATTCCACCACATGAGAGAGGTCACTCATCCGTTCCACCAGACGTGTCAGGACACTTGTACAATTCCACCACATGAGAGAGGCCACTTATCCAGTTCCACCAGACGTGTCAGGACACTTGTACAATTCCACCACATGAGAGAGGACACTCATCCATTCCAGACCAGGACACTTGTACAATTCCACCACATGAGAGAGGACACTTATCCAGTTCCACCAGGACACT